AAATTTCTGTCTGGTATTCTCTGCTTTAAGCTAAGATTCATCTGACATCAGCAATGATATCCCTAATTCCACATCCTCTTCTGAATATAGCTTGAATTACTGGCAGCTCCTTGTTGATGTACTGCTGCAACCGTTTTAGAATTTTCTTTAGCAAAACTATATTTACATAAAATATTAATGATATTGTTGTATGATTATGCATGCAATTTGACCACCTTTCTTCAGAATGACTATAAATATGGATCTATTCTAATTGGTTAGTCAGGTATCTGTCTTCCAAATTTCTTGGAGTAGATGATGAGCGCCTCTAGTGCTTCATCAGTTTTTGGAAAGATTTAAATATGTATCCCATCAATTCCTGGAGCCTAGGATTTTTGTCTATGCTTTTAGTGCAGCTTGGACTTCCTTCACTACCATTGGTTGTTGATCTTATGTTTCCTCTTGAAATGGTTAAATATTGACCAATTGTTTTTGGTACAGTGATTGTGTATTCCTTTCATGTTCTTTTGATATGTTCTGGGTCATTCAATAGTTTCCCATTATACAAAAAGCAAAACATATTGAGTCAGTTGTGACTCATAACTACCCTGTATATGGTTCATGATACTGAAAAATCTTTACAGAAGCAGGAAACCTCATCTTTCTCCCACAGAGGCACTAGTGAGTTTGAACTGCCAACCTTGGAGTAAGCAGTACTCTTCTTATCCTATACAAGTACCAGGACTCTATTTCCTCATAAAATGCTTTAATATTGTAACCCAAGGTTTGAACTTTTTCTTCAGTTTTTTTACCCTAAGAAATACTAAGTGTGTTTTTTGGTTTTGGCTTTCTGACTCCAGGGCTTAGCAGTTTTCATTTTGTACATTACTTTGTTTTCTTGAACTGCCCTTTGTAATATTCTGCTCAACTTGTTACTTTATCATTTTCCCCAGTCACTTTAGTTTTTCTGTGCTCAAGAACAAGTTTCAGAATCTTTTCTGTTACCTGATTTGGTCTTTTCTTTCTTTCTTGTGTTTTTAATGAGCCTTTGCTGTCTTCTTTTATAATGCTCTTGATGTCATTCCACAACCCTTCTGGTCTTTGGTCATTAGTGTTTAATTCATCAAATTGGTTATTAAGATGGTCTCTAAACTCAGGAGTGATATATTCATGGTCATAGTTTTGACCCTTGTTGACTTGTATTAATATTCTTCAGCTTCAGCCTTAACTTGATGACCTGCTTCACACTTGGTCTCTGGTCTTTTTTTGTCTGATGATATAGAGCTTTTCCATCATCTCTTCCCACAGATGTAGTTGGTGCTATTTCTGCGAATTCCATCTGGTGATGTCCATGTGTAAAGTTAGCATTTATTTTCTTGCAAAGTGATATTTGCAATTAATAAGTCACTGATTTTGTACAAATTGTATAATGCTATCACCAGCATTGTTTCTGTCACCAAGGGCATGTTTTTCAACTACTGATCCTTCCTTTATGTTTCCAACTTTCATATTCCAATTTCTACAAATTATCAATTCATCTTGGTTACATGTGTGATCAATATCAGATTGAAGAAGTTCGTTTGAAGAAGTTGGTAGAATTTTTCAATTTCTTCATCATTGGATTTCGTGGTTGGTGTGTACATTTAAATCATAGTGGTTTTAACTGTTGTTGCTTTTAAGTGTCTGGATATTGTCCTATCACAGACAGCATTGTCCTTAAAAATAGATCTTGAAATGTTCCTTTTAAAGAGGAATGTAACACCATTCTTCTTCAATTTGTTATTCCCTGGCAAAACATATTAATGTCAGATTCAAAATCACTAATACCAGTCAATTTCAGCTCACTGTTGCATAGGATATCAACTTTTATCTGTGTCCTTTTATTTTTGATGTCTTCCAATTTTCCTGGATTCATACTTTGCATATATTCCACTGTGATTATTAATGGGTATTTATAGCTGTTTAGTTTCATCAGCAAATGATGGTTCTTAAAATTTTGCTCCATTCATGTAATTAAGGTCAACTGTACTTTGAGGAGGTCACACTTCCCATTTATATTTGAGTATTTTCCAACTTTCCAGCACCACATCAGATAATATTATGCTGTTCTTTGTAAGGTTTTTCAGTGACTAACAATTCACAAGTGGTCTCCCTCTCCTTCTTCCTACTATGTTTTAGTCTGGTAGCTCCAATGAAACCTTTCCACCATGAGTGACCATGGTGTTTTTTTAAACAACAGAGGTAAAATTTCCTGCATCACAACAGCACACTAATGACACACTGACAGGCGAATTGTGACTGATATTTTATTAGAATCTACTAAATGTTTGAACATCATATTATAATGTAAATATGTTAAAATGATTATAAATGTGCTCAAATATCTCCAAACAATGTCATTATATAAAGCAAAGCCCAGTGCAACATATCTCAAATCCATATGTAGAATTAAAAAAAATATATGAAAAACCAATAATCGATCGATATATATTAAATAGCTATTTATCGATACTGCTGTATAACAATTACAAAATTAATATCTAGAAACAACAAGTATTTACAATCTCATAGTTCCTATGGGAAACAATCTCTGTATGACAAAAATGGCTAAGTGCTGTACTACTAACCAAAGTTTTGGCAGTTGA